GTTTAATATTATTTTATTAGATCTGTGGGCTAGTAAAAAGACTCAATTTAGAAAATCCGCCGATTTGTGATATTTGTTAGAATGAAGTTCGCCAGGGCGGCCATCAAAAGTTCGGATCAGATGATGAGATGCCACAGTTACTGCATAATTTCTTAGAAGATTGTTGAATTGTCTACATATCTTATGCATGCAGCTTTATTGTTGCAAAATACTACTGGTTATTAAGATGTGATTGTAACGATAGTTGGATTTCATGACCCGGACTTTTGGTGGCTGTTCTGGCGAACTCGTTAGAATGCGAATTCTAAAAGTTATAAATAAATTTTTTTTTTTTATGAAAAAATTTTTTTGTAAAAAAATTAAAATCCGGGTTGCCGTGTCACTGAAAGTTAGTCCGTGATATGAGAACCGATTATAAGTTTGTATGGCCTTATTTATTTTTAACTAAAAATTTTACAGTAGAACCAAAATAGCTTGCCACTACATTTCATAACGGCTTTTTGATGACGATTGTAATCTTTTAAAGAAATTTCATAATGCATTTTCTGCAATCAAATTTAGTTTCTGTCTTCTTTGTAAAGAGAGTTTTCTTATTATTAGTACATAAGATTGGATTATGTAGTAGGTGCGATAAAGAAAAATTAACACCAAAAAGGTTTTCAGCCGAGAATGACATGGATCCCGGTATGTTAAAAAAAAAATTCTTCCTGTGTAGTTGTATACGTACAAACGATAATGTATTAATAGTTTAACTGATGTGTCGGCAGCGTAAACGGCCAATACGGTAGTTATACTTTATCAGTAAATTTTCGTTTATATTTTACTGCCAGAATATAACTATTTCATATACTAACAGAGTAAATTTTACTATATATAAACTTGCATATAGATAATGTAAGTTAGTTTTATCAATTTTAAGCACCTCATAAGTAAAGCTCTAGCCGTCGTTTTATTACTAGTTTAATTATTTGACCTTACGAAAATTCTATAAAATTTTATTTATTATTATAATAAATACTATTGGTATGGTCAGTAACAAAAAAAGATTATAAAAAAATCAAGATTTTTACAGAATTGTACGTACAGTTCTAATAAAAATGAAGATTTTACGGAAATGTATATATGTACAGTACATATGTTCATTTGTTCATTGAATATTTTTTTATATTACATAGCTCATATTTAACGTTTTTTTTTTTTTTTTTTGGAGGGGGGCCTGGGCACGGCCTTTTTTTAATACAATACTTTTGCGCTCTATTTAGTTAAAATGAATTACATGAATTATCACAGGAACCTACGGCTATCCTCGGCCCAAAACTCTACTAGAGTGGGCTACTAGATTTAGTGTAGCTATATACGATGTAGACATGGTAGGGAATAAATTTACCATTTATTGTATTTGACTATGGTGAGTAAGGGGGTGGGATGGGGAGTAATAGTGCTAGTACTGACTAATTAATTATTTATTTTTGATGTATAGATTTACAGCGTTCTGCCCATATTTGCTTGTAGATGTTGGTAGATATATTGTGAAGTGTTTTTATGAAATTGCGATTAGAGATTGTGATAGATACCCGAATGTTGTCTGGCACCAGGCCTTGTAACAACAAAATGTTTGGTGAGTATGTGTTTGCTGTGAAGAAAATCTGTTAATTTACTTTAATCAATAAATCTGAAATTTTTTCTATATATAATTACGCATGTTTTTCATTTTTTTTTCAAGAGTAGTTTTTGGATAACTAAAATCAAACATTCTTATTTGTTTGTTCTGAGTATTTTAACGTGGTAGCTATAGTTGTTAAGCAAAACCTAGATGTTTCTTTCTGGTAAATCGAAACCCTAATTTTGATTTTGCTAAAAAAAAATTTTAAAAAAATGAAATGGTGTAACTACGAAATATGGTGAATAAAATTAAAGGTTGTAAAAACTAGTAGTAAATTTTTAAGAAAATTTAAATTGGTCTTTCATCTTAATACATACGTAAAACACAATTAAGCCAACAAAAAAAAGTACCTTTATTAAAATAAAAAGTCGCATTTCCAACTTGAGTATTTTGTTTAGCAATGTATATCCACCAATTAGAGCGATAAGTAAAAAAAAAAAAAAATAAATAAACAAAGTTTACCTTGATTAAATTAAAGGTTACATGTTTATCTTTCACGAAGTTTCGTATATTTTTATGAGTTTCATCGAGGTTCACATTTCGCAGGGTTTCAACGTTTCGTCAAGGTTTCAATGCTTCATTAGGGTTTCATCCTTCATCTTTTTGGGACTTATGTTTCGTCATTTGCCATTTTTTGAAATAGGCTTCACCTAATATCTATAGTGGCAGTGCAGAATGTGGATATTCTATAGAATAGGTGGGCAATATAAGAAATAAGCTTCGCTAATGATTAGTAATCATTAATTTTTTAATAGCGGAGTTGCGGAGTTTGCGGAGTTTGCCCACCTATTCTATAGAACATCCCAGAAGGTTATGCATCATAATTTACATGGAAGTTTTTTAAGAAAGGAAATCTATTTTCAAATGTATTATCAGTATTAAACTTTTATTTTTATTTAAAGAATTATTTTTATAATTTTTTCTCTTTATTATAATAAAACTTTCATTAAAAGGATCATTTTCTTCGAAAAAATATTCTTCTTTGAAAAAGCTATTAATCGATGGTGTAGATTCCTTGCCAGAGAATCTATATTTTTAAACCCGATTTTTTTTTTAAAAAAAAACTCACTGTTAAGATCATTGTTTTCGTTATTTAAAGACACTATTAAGCATCGGGTTTTTAATTTATGACATAACAGACTCGGCCTATTAAAATTACTCAGAATTGGTCCCGATGTCCCGATATTGACATTTGTATAAAATTTATATACGCTTGTACTATACACAATATATACTTTATACACAGTTGTGGCCTTACTAACTATACACATGTGTTTGCTAGTTTAACGTATTATAACGTATTATAACGTATTGGGCCTTTTCAAAGTGAATTTACTAGTAGATTTGTAGGTATAAATTTTCGTATTGTAATGTATTTTATTAACCTATGCGTGTGCACTAACTTGGAAGTAAAATAAAAAATATATTATAAGAGCTTCTAAATTTATTCTATCGCATAATATATTTTTTATTTTACTTCCAAGTTAGTGCACACGCATAGGTTAATACAATACATTACAATACGCAAGTTATACCTACAAATCTACTAGTAAATTCACTTTGAAAAGGCCCATTATTCACGACTATTTTATTATACAACTATTCGTATTACTCCTATAGGTATGAGTACGTTTATTATTATAATTTTAGCTGATTTATTAATGCTAGTAAACAAAGTAAGTCATTGTGCTAACATTTATACAACATTGCATAACTAATTATTGTTTCATTTGCACTTCTGAAATCTGTGCCAGGTTATACATGATCTACAAATCAGATTTCGAGGATCAGGTGTAACGTAGCACGATCAAAACAAACGTTCGTTTTGTCAAAAATCCTTCTTTCTCAAAAATCTGCATAATAAACCACCTTTAGTGCTCTAACAAAAAGTTTTTCTTGCGCGATTTTACTATACACCCACGTAGTTTTAACTTTATATGAAACGCCCTAACCCTAATATTAATGAACTTTAAAATTTTTAAAAAATTTTACATTATGATTGGTAACATGCATAACCTGGCACAGATTTCAGAAATGCGTTTCGCATAGTTTTGAGAACTTTTTAATCATTTATTTAAAAATAGGCTATTTAAGTTTCTGTGTATTTACTATTACGCATTGTTTTTCATTTATTAGCATGGATTTAGTTGGTACTTGTTGAATATAAGTGTTATTGTTTATATTCTGTGATGCAGATTTTTTTTTTTTTATCACCGGAAAGATCAAAGTCGTTTGATATTTCAAATAAAAATTTTAACTATCTCTGAGTCAAATAAACTGTTCCGATTCGGTTTTTTTTAATAGAACTAGAAATTGCGCATGCGGTTGATTAAGACGCCAGTTTCAACTAATTTGATATAACAGACATAGTGCTAATTATATTAATATAACATTTTAAGAAATTTTGTGATTTTAAATTCACCTCTTTTTTGATGAAGTAGAACCCAACACATAAGATTATTTTTGAATAAATTATAATAAAGTTGATTGATATTAAGTTTTCACCAATTTTTTTTATATAGATATCGGCCTTTTTTGCAAACTTTGTTATAGAATTTTCATCATAACATTGTGAACGATTTTTTTTTTATAGTTCATTGCCGTATTTCGCTCGGTCTTGTTTCTATATAACGTAAGTTGGAACTTCAGGTGCATGAGCCTTTTAGGCAGGTGCCAACTTCAGGCACAACAATTTGCGCGAGTAATATAAACCCCTAAAAAGAACATGGCCAATCGGAATGCACAAAATTTGACGGTTCTGGATCAGCCTGACATGAATTCTGAACACGTGCGAAAGAAGAAAAAGCGAAAATATTCAAATACTAGTGTTTAAATCGACCTTTATGCATTAATTAAAAATGTCGGAAACGAAATTTTACTCATAGCAAGCAACAATCTATTGCTATAGCCGCTAATGCTAACTCCCCAACCCTAAACTTCTATCTTTACGCACTTAGTTTATTTACAAAATTCTATTTCCTTTTTAGGTTTGTTACTCGCGCAAATAAGTAAAACTCGACAGATCCACCACCGCTACACGAAGATACTATGTAAGTTTGAATACGATACACATGTGAATTTAATATTTAACGTAAGTTTAATAGCATTAAATTTTTTATTTAGTTAAATTTATACCGATTGTAAAACGAGTTATGCATTTTCTAACTTGAGATTGGCACTCATTAATTAGTAATTGACAAAATTGAGAAATTACGTAGAACCATTAAATTTTTTTTTTAATTTCTTTCTCAAACAAGAAATTTATTGCATCACCACATGTCAAGTTTAATGTAATATTATACGAATGAAGTACATTCATTAACTAAAATTAGATGAATCATCCACGAGTTGGTAGCCTTAACTGTCTGCAAACATCATTACATCCATGACTATCCAAAAAACATCTATTAATTCCATTTCTACCTAGATTAGTTTTTCCAAATCTTAAGGGATCAATACAATGTATCGCTGGATCTGTTAATAAAAACTGATCAGGTAATTCAATTCCTTAAAGATCAGAAACAACTAAATATCCTCCTGTGTGCTCATACGTAAAATGTACAAATGCCTCAAGAACTGGTCGATATTCTACAATAACACCAGAATTCACTGCATCTTGAAGTTCCAATTCTGAAATATAAAAACGAGTCCTACCATCAAAGGCAGCACGTACTAGATTTACTCTAAGAAAATTTACAAAAGGAATACCTTTTCCTCTTGCTTTTGAATTAAACTTTATAGCAAGATAACTTGTTAAAGCTGAAATTTCCGTAGACTCAAGATACTTTTTAAGTGGATTTGCTGTTCCATCTGTCAAGTATGCTTTCATTACTATTCGCCTTGGTGGATCATATTTAGTGTTAATAGCATAATATGCATATTTTTCAACACCAACAGCAAATGGTTTTTGTGCGACCTTGAAATGAAAAGTCTTAGAAATGAGGTTCTTTTTATCATAAAATCTTTGATTTTTAAGTTCCGCTACATCTTCGGGAATATAATAATATAAAGTTGCACCTTTTATAGCTGGACGAGTACCCCAATCAGGAATATTTCTGTCGATTTCAAGTTTTTGTGGTGATGAATTTAAATTCCTTCTAGTTTCAATGGTGCTGGTTAATGAAACTGACATAGTAATAGATGACGTAGCTGCGGCAAATTTATTAATTAATTCTATTGGAACTCCTTCTACAAGTTCAAAAATTGAAAATTCACCAATAATACTACGAAATACTTCGATCATAGTATCTGTATAATTTGTTATTTTTCCAAAAAAGTAAAAAATATTTTCTGATTTCATTTTTTCTAATACATTTTCAGCTGTCAACCCATTTGGATCTCCATCTGGATATTCATCTTGCATGTTAGTAAAACGTTTACCGTGAGGTGGATAATCTCCAATATGAAAAAGGACTCTAGTACCATTATTCCAACTCATTTGAGTTATAGCTGCATAAAGTCCTCCAAGCACATCTTTTGGACCATCGCTACCACCTGTGGCTAGCACTGAAGTTAAATTCCTTCTAAATTCTTCATACGAATTTGTAAAATCAAAAATTTGCAGTCGCAAAGAATTATCACAATGATCTCGATAACCACAAAAGCCAATTTTAATGTTTGGATTTGTACTTTTAATGTATTCTGTTAATTGTAAAATACTATCCTTGGCCGCTGCGATATGTCCTGCCATAGAACCTAAATATGTAATATGATAACAAATGTCAATTTATGCAGAAATTAAAAATAATTAAATAATTCAGATGATACAGACATGTCAGTATTTATTTCTTAATGTAATGTAGAATTTCTTAATGTAATGTAGAACGTAATGATTTTTTAACCAGTACAATCTAAAACGTAACAAAGATCAACTTCCATTGAACGCTCTATGTTAGCAAGTGTCTTGAGTATAGCCTTCTCTCTTCTTCTTATAACTTCTCTCTTCTTCTTATAACTTCTCTCTTCTTCTTATAACTTCTCTCTTCTTCTTATAACTTCTCTTCTTCTAAGTTTTGCATCATCATTGGTAGCTGAAGGTACGATTGTGGATGAGCTGGTAATTTCAGTTGGCACTTCATCGTCATAGCGGCCAATACGTTCGTCTTCGAAGCTCATTTCTTCAAAGTCATTTAAAAAGGATGCAGGTAATGAAGAGACATTAGAACTCGTCTCTGTTTCATCGTCATTTCTAAACCTATTAGTAAAGTCATTTAAAAAGGATGCAGGTAAACTATTAGTATTATATTCATAAATTTCGGTACAAATTTCTGTAGTTTCTCTATATTCAATGTTTACATTTTTTTTATTAAAAAGAAAGAGAAATAACACCTAGTAAATACAGTATGTTGATTTATTAATTTACTAACGTAATAATTCTTTAAATAATAGAAAAAATGCAGTTGCTGTATTCTCTTTTTGGATTTATTAAAAAAAAAAGAAAGAAAGCACGTAAACTTGGTTTGTCCTGTTTGATTATGCAAATCAGACTACAGTTGCATACTAATTTTCCTTGATAATGTAAAATTTATAAGTAAGATGATATGCGGTTATTGTTCGATACGTAGAATAATATTACAGAATTCATGAAATTTATTTAGAATTTACTTACGAAATTGGGCGTAAATTCCATATGAATTTTATAAAATTCGTAAATTTCAAAGGTTCTAAATCTCCCAAAACGATAAGTTGGGTGACCAAGTTTTTCTGCTCACATTTTCAAATTTCTTGCAGATAGATCATTGTTTCCATAATCGTAACAAACCTACTGGAATATACACATCTGCAGATCTATAGAATTATTGTGCCCTAAAATATTTGTTTATCGGTACGTATCTGTGCGACGTAACTGCACTGAAATCAGGAACGGCGCTAACTTTAATGCCAATATACTAGGAAATCAGGATCTGATAAACGTCCGAAGCAAATACCATATTACGTATTTTCTGCTTGATATGCAATTGTTACACATGATCTGCAGATCTTCACGGGACCTCGAATTGCTCAAATTTTATTGGTTTTTTCGCCCGGACATTGCATAGACGTGCATGAAGTTTGCTTGTACTGTAATCGTCCTCGCTACGCTTCGGACAATTATATAATTTTTATTATGTCTTAATATAATATGAATGTTTATATGAACAAAAATTTAGAATGATAGCTGTTTTTCAATGTGAAAGTATAAATATTGTTAGAAAAGGGTTGAGCAATCGGCAATTTAGAAGGATGGTTTCATAGCCAGTTAAGAAATTATGCAGTGTGGATTGGATGTTATGAAATCTCTTTCAGATTCTGTAGAGTTTTTCAATGAAGTGACCAGAAGACCATGAAGTCTGATGACAATGAGATCACATGTTCAATTTGTTATTTCCTTATCTATTATAATTTCTTGTTAACGTTAAATACAATTTTTTTTTGGTTTAGTAATATGATTGCGTATAGTAGTTGAATCTCAAATTACATACTGTGATTAATTAGCAAACGAGTAGGGAAACATCAGTAATGTAAGAAAGATGTGATTATTTCTTGCTAGTGTCAAGATATTTAAGGGCCTTTGTTTAATAGAGGCAGTTATCTTTCCTTTTGTTACCGCTCATCTTGTAGTGAAGACTGGCTCTTTATCACCTCTATCCCGCATAGAGATGTGCGAATGCATTTTTTTTTTTTGCTCTGCATTGCATAATGCAGCATGCGACATTATACAATCATGGTGTTCTACCAAAATCAAGCAAGATTCATACTCAATATTAGACAGAAGGTTAATATTTATGGTAATTTCAAACCTCATATTAGTTAGCCTGCTTATACAGGTAACTGATGATACGTATCACTTAGTATTACATATGATATAAAATATAAGATTTTATTAATTTTGTTGCATTAAAATTATATAGCAATTTCTATGTGCACTTTTAAATTTTAAAATGCCTACATTACATTATGCGACATTATGTTTTACATAAAGTAATGCACATAATGTGGAATACCCATCTCTACTTCCGCCCCTTAATGTTTCGTGAAAACCAAGGTTGCATTGATGCTCCTTGCTTAGTAAGTCTTAAAAATCCGGTATTGGTAAATAAAAATAGAATCCGTGGCTGCTGTAGGTATATATAATTTATTTCTTGAACTATTTTAATACAAATTTAATAATATTTATATTTTAAAATACATAAACTATTAATTTCTATTAAAATTAATAATTTATAAAAAAAAAACAATATTTCTTTATAAAAATTTGACTTTATTTAGTAGTGCTAATAAAATATGATTTTGACTTTTTGAACAATTTTGGCAAAAAAATTTAAAATCAAATTTGTATTATTATATTTTCTAAATAAAAGGTTCAAACCTAAAATAAAACTTAACGTATACTATAATCATTTTATAATCATGTGACTTCTAAATTTCAGTAAATATTGGAATTTGGATTTATGGGCCTACTAAACGAAATCTGTTGGAAGGGGGTCTTCTGGAAGGGGGTCTTCTGGAAAGGGGTCTTCTGTACATTTGCCAGCCTTACATTGTTGACTATCACAATCAGCGTTATTTTTGCATCCATCTCCTCCGAAACATAATCCCTGATTATTTCCAGCACAAACACAAAAACCTTGGCTACAAGTGCCTATACTACAATCATTAGTGCTATTACATGCTTCTCCAATATCACAATCTCCATTCCCATTCCCACGCTCACATGCACAACTTCCATTGGATAGACAATGATTAGAATTACAATCACTGTTTTTAGTACAAGAGTCTGCAGCATTGCCTTTTCCTTGTCTTTTAATAAAATCCGGAAAATTTTTCTTGGCATGCGCAACTTTTTAATCATGAAATAAATAATAATAATAATAATAAAATAAAATGTTATTTAAATTTAATGCGAATTAAAGGCAACTTAGTGAAAGATATTGTACCTTTGTTTGTGAGCAATAAAGTCATAATCACCAATATACAAATGA